ATCAATAGTTTTATGAATTTATAACTATTTTTGTTTTTAGAGGATGTAATTATTAAAAATAAGTATAAATAGTAAATAATTTGTTAATAAAAAATTATTTACATATACTGTATTTCCATATTTAAAAAATCCAGTAACGAGTTGTGAAATTTTTCTTGCGAAAAACACTAACAAGTAATTAACAAGTATTAACACAAAATTAAAATTGTCTTTGATGCCATGTTATGAGATTTTGTTTAAAAATAACTTTTATATTATTAATTATTATAAAATGACGAAAAGTTTAATTTTGAGGATAGAGAATACTTTTTAAAGTTGTAAATGCCAATGAAGATTAAATTTTCATTAAGTGCGAATTCATTCGAGATATGACGCATGACTTCTGCATCTCCACACCCCTCGACCTCTAACTATTACAATTTAATAGCATCAATATCGTTTGTATATAAGTTACCATGCCAAATTTCTTAAACACAAACACATATACTTTATTGGAGTTCAGGGGTCTCAAAACGTCGAGATTTACAAAAACCCAGGAGGTGAAAGTTGACACAATTCCAATAATTTCTCGTGTTATATTCATAAAAAGCTTGGAAAGTAAAATTGATGAATGAGTAAATAGATCTTAAATAATAAATTTAAATAAATTCATTATTAATTTTTTTGAAAAGCACCTACGATTGAATTGATGGGAAAAGGTAATATATCACATGGATGATCTTTCAAGGGGTGCGTCTGTGGACTACCGTAAGAGAAACTGGCCCCATTCAGGTGTTAGACAGTTGAAAAAAATCCGGAAAACTCCACGTAACCAGCTTGTTGATCGGGCAATAACCCACGGCCAGTGTTCAATGATTTTATGCACTCGGCCACTGGTAGACAGTTGAAAAAATTATATCCCAGATATGTCAGACTCTGATTCTTTGTCCGGCCGCTTCATTGTAGGCCTGGCCAAATCCACAATGGGCTTGAAAAAATTATCTTAGTGTTTTCAGGACAGAGTAAGAAAAGCCCTATAAAACATTCTATAGTCCTCATTGATTCACCAGCTGCCGATTTGATGAAACCACTCAATAAGAACCACTCTGTACAAGAAATCCTCGTTAATTCGAACTCGATAGTTCGAAATTCTGTTAATTCGTAACTGTACTTTTTTCTCAACCGAGGATATAGAGATTTGCATGTTAAGGAATTCAGTTACTTCGAAATGCGGCTACTCTCAAGACTGTGATATGCATATGTTAACTCGTTCGTTTAGATCAAAGTGCCTTCATGCAATAAGAGAACAATAGCCCAAGAACAACTCTAATCTAGTCATTGCTGCAAAAGTGGTTACTGCAAAAGAATAGCTATGCTTTTACAGTAACACATTTTCTGGTGTCACTATACTCATGGACTAATCTTTTTTCCCTCTTATCTCATAAATACGGCTGGGTTTTGGAATTGCAAGATTGAGCTACAAGTAGCAGATTGAAATATTTTTAGGGCTACAGACTACTTGATTTTGGCGACTTACTACTTTTTGAGCTATTTTTAAAATAATTTGCGCTACATTTTGGGGAATTCTGCTTTACTTTTTTATAAAACTTATCTGGCGACCGAGGTTCTTACTGGACATATGCTGTTTACCAGCAATATTATTACTGGCAGATAAGCCCAGCGTTTCCCGAGCAAAAAGTGACAACAAACATTAAGATTATTAGATTATTTCGTACTTCTAATTCTTCTATTATATTATATTATATTATATTATTTGATTTATATAACTACAAAGATTATCTTACGTAAGGGTTATAACATTTTAAAAATTCTTTATTCCTCTACTGTACACAACTTAAAGAGATTTTAAAGTGTTAGATTGGGTATTTGGTATGATAAATTCTTGCGTAAGATGACCTTTGTAGTTATATAAATAAAATACTATAACAAACATTATAACGAAACATTATGTTTTTGGTCAGAGCTTACAAACCTTTATTGAAATCGAAAGTCACTTTTAAACTCATTTTATCTCTCGTTCCCACCAACAGCTGAATGGATAAAGTCATTGAACACAAGGTTTGAGCTTCACCAACGGGCTAGTCACATGAAGTTTTTTGGACTTTCTTTGCATGTCTACACGTAAATATGGCCCAGTTTTCTATAGAAAGTCTTCCCGAGTGGCGCTTTCCCTTGACAGATATTCATTGTATTTCGTTGCCTTATCCTACAATTTTTCGTCCAGTAGCAACTAATAAAAACGTTTTAATCATACCCATCGCGGGTTCAGCTAGACCCACAATGGAAGCGGCGGGCGGTGAGGAGAGAAGCACGACAAATCCAAGACTGACCGTTTAGAAACATTTCTGGAGAATTGCTCGTCCAAATTCAATTTCGGGTTCCCTAGAGCAGCGGTCCCCAACCTTTTTATCGCCGCGGACCGGTCAAAGTTTGATAACTTTACCGCGGCCCACTGAGGGGGGACGTTGATTGTTCATATTTTACATTGATTCAATTTAATAATTTTAATTTAACTGTATTTAAACGTGCCTTCAAAATAAAATACAATTACACCAAAAAATGAATATAATGTGATTTAACATTTTAACTCACTAGAACGCTAAATCAATGAGAACCCTGAGCTTGTTTCTTTGCAACGAGACAGTTCCGTCTGGGGGTAACAGAAGACAATGACACTCGAAGTATGTTTCTTGTGTCCAGTTTATTCCGTTGTTCCATCGTCTATTAAAAGTCGCACAAACCCGAGACAAATACACCATAGTAAATAAAATGGAAATAATTTAATGTTCCTTGGGCGGCCCGGTACCATTTGATCCACGGACCGGTACCGGTCCGCGGCCCGGGGGTTGGGGACCACTGCCCTAGAGTGATAAGTCCGGGTCTTACTATTATGAGTATGCGACAAATGCGCGTGGAAACATCGCCCTTACATGACAACTAGAAGTAGTCGAAACCGTTCCGGACTCGAAACTACTAGGAATAGTTACATACTGAATGTCGAGACAGTTCTAATCAGAACGGAACTACCGACACGTTCTTCATTCTGCAGCTTTATGAATACGGCTTTTCACGAAACAGTGAATTCCTTGTATGGCTTTGAGTCAAACTAAATGAAAATGTTCCACGAGTTTTTAGAGCCCACCAGTAGCCAAGTAAATAAAACCGATAAACTCTGGTCGTGGGTTCACGGCTTACCAACGGGCTAGCGACTTGGAGTTTTCTGTGTTTTCTGTAAGTTTGTAACACCAAAATAGAGGCTAGTTTCTTATAGAAAGTTTTTCGAGGAGGCATCGAGATTCGCGGCAGACCGCCCATGAGTCGCTTTGGTGTCTACAAGCAATCCACTCCACTAATTTTTAGGAATAATGAAATTAGTTTTGAGTATTACATTTATAAAGATATGTTATCTTTTTATTATAATTCATAATTACTTGTTTTTATCAGTAAATAGCAGATATGTCCGGCATTGCCCGGCTAAAAAGTAAGGAAGATAAACATTACACTTTGTCTATGGCTATATTTTAAACCACCTTCACTACATTTTATTTCATTTAACGTATAACGAGTCCAACAACGTTGACAGTATGATAAACAAATGATAAACGCGCTATTTTACTCTTCGGTCAGGCGAAAAGACTGACGTTGAGTATGAGAAAAATCATTCATTTATAAGTAATCTAAAAATTTAACTTATTTTAATTTTTAACTAATACAAATTACGAATAAAACATTCATAATTTGTAACTATGACCGGAAAATACAACAAATCGGGGCCCGCTATTGGCGCTGTTCGCTGTAGCGGCATAATTTAGAATTAATACTCGCTCTGGGGCTAGACGCATGTGCTGAAGCGTCACCTGATAGTCGCTGCAGTCTAAACGCGGTTATTCCGGGCATGCACATTCGCTTGTTTCGGTTTGTCCACTCCATTCGGTAGGGCGTTCACGCCGCTGTCGCTATTCCCTGCCATGTGGGACGTGTCCTTAAAATAATTTTTATGTTTTATCAATAATATCAAAACTATTTACCAATAGCAGTTACCGACTGTAATATCAATGTATTTACAATCACCAATAGTAAAACACCAATAGTAAAACACATTAAAATAAAATGAACTAAATTCATTTTATACATTTAGTTATAATAAAGTAACTCTCCATAACCGCAGTGCTAACGATTAGAAAATTAAATGAACACATAACAGGCCTTATATAAAATTAAGTGCATTATACTCCGTTTTATTCAATAGTTCACATATAATTTCTCCAATTAATTGATGATGGTTAATACTTTAATATGTAAACTGATCCTTTAACTACAACATTTTTAATTAAATTATTCTTTCTAATAAAATTAAATATATTTTGATATATAAAGTGTCATTCACATATACTTATTTTAATATTAAATTGAAAAGAATTGTGTATTATGTATTGCTATAAAATAACATATTATCTCGTGCAGTCTCTTACAGCAATTGTATATATACACAAAAGCTTAGACATGTCATAGAAATCAGGTTATTCATTAACAATAGCAGTGGCTTTTGATTTCAAACAAACGTATAATTAGAAAGCGTCAAACAGGAAAATAAAAGAATAAAAAATATATAGTGTATATACAGTATACTCCTAATGGCAGACATTTTATGTTATTAGAGCGCATGCGTTTCTGTAGCTATTTTATTTTATTATATAATAATTTAATTTAATCGCATTAAAGATTTGTTATAAATAATCGTATAAAATAAAAAATGACCTTTACATAATTAATATATTTATTATTATTATAAAAGCTAAAATTACAAAAAACTATTTCCAAAAGATATATAACAAATATAACAAGTAACAATTAACCAGAATTAAATTAAAAATTAATTTTTAATTTATTTTAATTAAATTTATTTGGTAAAATTAAATTTAAAACCATAAAATGTCATTTCTTAAATGATTATTTTTACGGTTAGGTGACTCTGCTTCCGCCTAAGCAGTCGACGTTGATTTGCTGAGAAGAGGAAGTAACGTGCTTGACGTCATATTTGCCAGTAAGAATTCTGTCAAGATGGCAGACGTCGAGAGAAGTACAAGGAGAATGATTCTTAAAACAGTGGTGTAAACAAAGACTAAAGAATGTATTTTCCTATCGGATGGCCTAAATACATTCATTTGCAAGACAGTACACGTACAATATACTTATTTAGTAATCGTGATCGTTCCCTTTTTGGTGTACTGACAGAAGATTCTATTGGAATTTGGTTTGCTAAAGTAAGTTCGCTTAAATTTCCCTTAAAAGTGTATTTGTTGATAGTTGTTTTTTAAAATGTACAGCAACAATATATTTAAAACGTTGGCGTGTTGTATTAAATTTCAGTTGATCAATTTTTAAATGTGTTACAGATGTTAGAACGTAAACAGTTATTGGTCAGTATGGTTTAATTAATCTATTTCGGAAGAAAAATGCTCAATTACTATAAACAAAGAAACTATTATAGTTTATTCCTCAAAATGCTTTTCACTAATTTACAGTTATTCAATAAATTAACTTCATTTTAATTAATTTAATAAAAAAGCAATATAATTTAATTATATCAGAATTTTGTTAGATTTTATTACTTTAAATTTATTTGTTTATTATTTCATATCAATTACTGATGTTTTTTTAAATATTTATTGTTGTTTAATTAATTTTTTCTGCACTTATTTACAATACTTGACAAACAAAATTCTTCATAATGCAGATATTGTTTTAATACTTTATTTACATTAGTGCTTTATTACTGTATTGATAGTTTCAAACAGTGCCTCAGAATACCAATTTTATTAACCGTAAGTTAAAAGCACTAGTTCATTTCGATACTTTTTGTATTAATGGTATTCGTATGAATTTTTTTGTACAAAAATTTGATAAGTATTTTGTGTCTGGATAGCTTTGTACAAGTTTAATTGGCTGAAGTCGTCATGATCTGGATGGTCAGCATTGAACAAGATTATGATCAAAGTTGCATAGCTAAGCTGCTTGAAAATGAGCTGATTCTATATCTAAGCATTCTGTAGATAGACATGCACCTTATTCTCTAGTATATTTTATGAATAAAATTTATCATAATTCATGTATAGTTTCATTTTCATTGCTATATTTTGTATATATTTTTATGTTGTTGACTTGGTCCATCTGTTTTCTATTACATGAACTACTAAAAAATTTATTTAACATATTACAAAAATGTTATAAATGTTTTAAAAATATTTATTAAATGAAACAAACTGTATAAAAATTACATTAATAATAATTTTAAAGATTGTACACTATGGTTGTACACTATTACTATACTTTGTACACTATGTAAGACTCTCTCTAGATTTCTAATGTCATTGACCTCTAATTCCAAATGCTTTCTACTATTAAGTTTCCTTTGCTTTATTAAAAAATACTGAAGTACAGATTTAATTTTTTAAAACTATACATAAGATTTTAGTCTAATATTAGATTTTGTCACAAAGTTCAATCTTTATGATTAATACTTAGATTATATTTTAAGAGAAGTAGAAGTTATATAACATTTAAAAATAACTTTTTTAGAAGCTATACGATATTTAAAACAAATTTTGAGTCCTTTTTTGTTTGTATAAAATTAAATACCATATTGCATAAAATTAAATAATGGCCTATATAATTATGAATAAACTGAATAATTATGTATCATTATTCAGTTTAAATGTAAAAATTTTAATTTTTATAATATCTTATTTTGTATAGCTCTTAATTATAAGTTAATCTGTACCAAAAGAAATTGATGTTGTTTTAGGTTATTTTGAAATACTTAAATCAATAAAAATTTGAAGTATAGATAGCAGGATGATTGAAGCAGTTAGGCATCAGTCTACTATTTCAGCAATCTACAAACTCTCATTATAAATTCAGTTACATGATATCTATTGGTTTTTATCTGTAGATTTATAGGGAAAAATTAGTCATGAAGAATTCTAAAAGATTTGATCAAATTCAGGTGAGCAGGCCAGGAATTTTTTGAGTGGTCTATCCTAGATACATTGGATGCTTTGTCACCTGAACACTCCCATTGTGGGCTTTGTCACATCCATGATGGATATGGGAAAAGAAGCTCTCTTAGTATCCATAAGGTAGAAAGAGTTAAAAAATGAAAAATAAATTAAGTATGAAGAAATTTATATTTATTGGACTTGACTTTATTTCAAATTGTCAAATCAAAAAGTTTTGTAGTTTTTAAAATCTATAACAAACAATTGTGTAATCTTGTTACTCCTTAGACATTTGTGGCACTTAACATCAAAAAGTTACAGATAAGAAGCAAATCTGTCTATCAATGTTAATATTATTAAGTATATGTTAAAACACAATTTAAAAACTGGACAGATACTTTTAACAGTTTTCATATTAGCTTTGGATTTGTAATGTGCTGTTCAATTTTCAAATTCTTCACTTGAGGATGACAAATATGAAAACTATTAAAGTAGTTTTAAAAGTTTTTAAATAGTGTTTTAACATACTGTATATTTAATAAACACATTAACATTGACAGAATTTCTTCTTATATATAGTTTTTGTTTTCTATATTAAAATATAGGCCTGTAGTATTTTCAGATTTTGTCAAAGTCTGCTTTCAAATACATTTTAAAAGTTAATAAATATAATACCTAAAAAAATTTAAATAAAAAGTTTATATTTTATTATTATGAAATATTAAACTTTCTTCTTTCAAACTTCTATAAATGTTCTTATAAATCCAGTTACATGGCATTTGTTGATTTTATCAGATTTACAGGAATAAATTTTTAATTAATGTCGTTAGTATTTAGATTTTAAATTAACAAAGCAACAAAAAATTATAGCTGTTGTTAGCAGATGTTACTTACATAAAAACTATAAACACTTTTAAGGAGAGATTAAGATGATGGTATATATAAATGTCAAGAAGACTAACAAAATTGGCAATAAAGAAATGAAAATATACTTAATAAAAACAAAATAAAGTATTAAGTTGGTCTAAAAGTTATTATATATATTTAAGCACTAGTAGAACTGAGATAATTTTAAGTTCATAGTATTATTTTATTTATTTTTAAAACTTATTTATTTTGAAAGAAATTGGATGCTGAAGCATGCTAAAAGATGCAGTTTCATTTTTCTACTTAACTTCACTTGACCATTGACTAAGTAATTAGAATTTTTTAAAAATTAAGTAAGACATTTATTCATGAAGCTAAGGGAAATCCTTCAACTGTCACTGATAAGAAGATAAATCAAGTAGAATGTTATCAAACTCACTGAATAAATCTTATTTTAAACATAAATAATAATCAATTATAAGAAGTTTTTCAAATTTATCTTAAAAAAATATTTTTAAAGAAAATGAGAATTTTTTTTAATATATGAAATAAAAAAAGAATGTAAAATTCTATTAAAAGAAAGAAAAGAAATAAAACTGCTAAAGGAATACAGTTTTAAGTATTCACAAAAGATATAAAACAAATGAGAAATAATACAATTTTTATTTAATATGACCATAAACTTCTTTCATAATTTTTATGAAATTAGAATATATGCATTTTTATAAATTTCAAATAATAAATTCAAAAACTTGTATAATTTTTTTCCTCTAATCTGTTGTCTTGGTATTGCTTTTTCTGTTTGTGCTTTTATCTTACTGGAATTTCTGAGAATATTAAAATCTTGATAACACTTTTGCTTTATTGTTGCTACTTTCCAGTTTTTTACTACAAAAATGACTTCCAAAATAATTGCTGTAAATATGTATTGGATTCAATAGCTTTTTTAGTAATAAAATAATATGATTAATAATTGGGAAAAGATTTATTCCTTTAACTTATAACTATGTTGCTTTAATAAATGAAAAATAAGTAAGAAAACAAGGAAAAAATGATACTAAATGAAGAATAAAATGATGAAATCATTAATTAATGATTATTGCAAAACTATTAATTCTTAAGAAAATTAAATAATTTTATGAAAATAACACATAAAACAGGAAAATATTTTACATATTAATACAAAAATTGATTCATTAAAAACATTTTCAAAATAAATATAAACATTTCTAACAAAATTATATACAGATATTTGCTTGAAAGTACCCAATTTGATTTGGCTAAGTAACAGTTAAAGATACAAGTTCACCAAAGATTTTATATGAGAGAAAAACTTACCAAATTTCATTGAAAAAAATCATCATCATACACCATTCACAAATTTAGGCCATGTTGACCCGTTTTGGTCTCAGCTAGATAGGGTCTAGGAGTTGTTTTTGTGGACGTCCAGGTCGTCATGATTCTCGTGGTTGGTACTGTAAAACTGCATGAGGTATCCTACCCAGCGACATTCAAGATACATGTTGAAGTCATTTTTCTTTATATGTGGAGAGTTTTTCAATTAATGGCCTCACATGGAGTTCCTCCAAAATATCCTCATTTTGACGATGATCCAGGAGCATATATCCAGAAGTTTGGCACATAAACCTCATTTTGGCTGCCTGTAATCTTTTGATATCTTTCTTCTTTAGAACCCAGATTTCACTTCCATACAGGAGAGTTGGAAGGGCCAGAGTTTTATATAATTTTAGTCTAGAATGTTTTGTGTGGTTTTAAAGTGTTATTTATTATTCCTAATATTTGTAAAAATTTTGCAAGCTTATTATGCATTCTCACCTTCATAAGAAATATTGCATCCTAGATTAAAAAAAAATTATTAACTTGCTGTAAAATTGTAATCAATTACAATTTTGCTGTGTATTGGTTCTGTACCTCTAAATGCCATTACTTTTTAGCACTTGAAATTTTCATGCCGTATTCTTTTGAAATTTTATTTAAGGTAAATAAACCTTTTTGTAAATTATCTTCAGAATTAGCAATTACCACTTGCATCAGCAAATAGCATGGTATTGAATTTTATGTTGTTTGGAAGTTGAATTCCTAATGTATATTCTTCCTGCCATTGATGTATTATGTCATCTATATTAAGGTGACCAATCCTCCTCTAGAGAGGACAGTCCTTCTTTTTTAAGTTCTGACTTCCTTGAAAAGTGTCTTCCTACATGTCCTCCTTTTTGATATTTGAAAACTAATCTGTAAATCTCCATATTCGATCGATGCCAAGTCGATTTATTGTATGTGATGTGTTTGTATTTAACATGATGATTCTTCAAGGCTTGGTACAGTGCAGCAAGATGATGTTATGAGACGCATGCACTCCACACAAAAGACTTTGAGAG